TTAAGTATTAACTTAGAATATAAAAATTTAAAATACTAATATAGTATAAGTTATATAAGTAATAAAAATACTAAAGTATATATTTTATATTTTTTTATAGTTAACTTACTTTAGTATATATATAATTTTAAAGTTTAGTTTTTTTATTTTATTTATAGTACTATAATAATATAAAGTAAGATAAGCTACTTATAATTTTTAAATTATATAACTACTATATACGTAAAGGTACTTCTTACTAAATAAGAGAGATTACAATTCTTAGAGAAGATATCTAAATAAGGAAGAATGTAGCGAGACTACCTAGGTACTGCGTGATTAATTAAAAGCCCCACAACAGAGTTTTATGCTACTTACGCCCCGATCCTGCTAGTATTTGGCCCCATTGGTAGGGGATACAGCGAATCGCGAGATGGTGTACATGCACGCACGCAAGGAACTATCCGTCATCCGGTGGCCTCGTTTCTGCATGCACTGCCATATCATGAGAACGGGTGATGTCACTTTTAGTTTGGGTAACGCATTCCCCGCACTGGACATATCTTATTCGCACAGCGGAGCGACGTTCGCGAGAACAGCTTGAAGAGCTCGAGTGCGGCAATTGCACATGCATCCAAATTTCAACGACGAGCGCTGGAAGTTTGTCAATTCGATACTGGATGGCAATATTCACAAACTACATGCTGAGGCTGGTATTTGAATTTACATACCGATGCAGGCGTTCCACCACAATGATATCGCGTGGGGTAGTGCCGTTTGCCTTATTCTACGCCTTACGCCCCAGAGGAGCTAACATTCTACTTTCGGTATACATCTGGACATAGTTTCGGATAGAACGGAGAGAGATCAGCAGTTTCCACTTTTTCGGTTGCTATTCTCCTTGCGTTCGATCAGGAGCATCGGGAGTCACGGCTACGACTGTCGCTGGTTAAACCAAACGGAGTCTACAGGACTGTGTTGAGATGCACAAAGCCAGTAGATTACGCCCGGGCAGTCTACAAGGACTGATCCGGTGAATATGGTCGCACCAAGAGCAGCTTTCGCTTCGAAATGACGAAGATCATCGACCGATTGCTCCGGGGAGAGGATGGGCTTATTCTCCAAGGCGTACAGCTATAAAATACAATGCAATGGTACCCTCGAGCTTGCGTTTGCACCACACTCGTCGGTATCAGCATTGTGATTATCCCTCGAGCAGCGACTTCACCCAGTCATGCAGTTTTCCAACTCTCTTTACGCAGTTGCGTTTATCCTTGCCACTACGTCCACCAACGCGAACCCTATCGCTATTCAGGCAGAAAGCTCTACTGCGATTGATAAGAGAGCTATCATTGACTGCGGTGGTACGTCTATGTGATGGGGAGAGAATACTCAAGTGCTGATATTGAGAGAATAGAATCCTACCGCTTCACCCAGTCTGCTCAAGACAAAGGGTCAGCCACATGCTAACCCGCTGTTGGGTCAGAATGCTGATGTCTCTTAAGCTATAACGATGCAATTGGTCACCTTGACGCAGGTACTACGGTGACTGCTGCAGGGCAAGCAAAGAGTGAGTACCAAGCCCGATATACAAAACAAGTTCTTTGCTAACGACGCATGACAGCTGAATGTTAGTCTCACTGTGACAGAGGCGTCGCTTATACGTACACTAATCCTTCTTCACTGTAGATCCTGCTTATTATGGCGACTCGGGAGGAGTCATCACAAAGCCTGAGTGCAAAGCCGCGGATGTCATTGATCTCCGCGAATATCCGGTTTTTGTCACAGGTGCTACATTCGTTGATGGAATGCAAGCCGGACAGGAGCGGGTGGTGATTGCACGGACTCCCAACCGTGGGCGCGTGAAGTGCGGTATCATCAGTCACCGAGGCCAACCCAGTGGCCAGTTCAAGTTGTGCGGTGTGTAGTTGCGCTGGGTTAATACAAGGATTGGATGATCTTGTTGCTTCCAGGTTGGAATATAGGAGGAACTAGCAACACTCGTTACTTAGTGTAGCGACTCACGATACGTCTCTCTTTCATCGTCTTCGTGTAGTACCGCTCTTTACTTCTGTGCCACATTAATCGCTCATACAATGAATGCAAGACCACAAATCTCTCCGCTACACGGCTCGTGCTAAAAGTGACATGGTGATGATCGAGTGCTGAGGTCCAGAGATGCCAGAGTTGTGATTGGCTGATGACTTGGACCACTTACAAGTCTGCGTTGATGCTGAGCTGGGTTCTAGTCACGTATTCAACAAAGTTGACATGCGGCTAGCGGCATGACCTATCTGCGACTTAGAAACCAGGCAGCAGCCAAGTCTTGACGATCTGACGTAACAGCATGCGCTAGATCGTGAGTCTGGCATCCTTCCGTATTGCACTGATAGTAAGATGACGTAGTTGGACAGGTCAGAATTGTGGGCGGGTCTAGGGTCTTCGACATAAGGCCATGGTCACCCGACCATCGATACCCCGGCCCCCTCCAATACTCTCTCACTTTTACTCAGTCCCGTCGAAGGACCTTCCTAATATACGACTTACATCTCCTATCCGAAAGATTATCGAACCGTAGCCTGAAGCGAACATGGCCAGCGATTGGTTACAGAATCAAGAAGAGGGTTGGCTAGGCCGCCTTCTTAAGGGAGATTCTGGGGCCATTGCAAAGGAATCCACATTGTGGCAGCTCTACCGCATTTTTGAGGATACAATGACTGGCAAAGCCTCGGCCAAGGACTCGGCGTCTAAAACAGCTTCTCTCGTCTCCTCTGAACCGAAAGCCTGGTATGACGTTATTGGGATATATGTCACCTCCGCAGAAAGGATCGCGGACGAAGAGGCGCTGAAAGCGCTGGTGGACTACATTGTGGAACTGGCAAGTCTTCCCGACGCTATCAACGAGAGTCATGAAACGGTCGTCATCGATCACATTGGCCACGCCGGGGCGTCAGTGCCCATTGAGCCAGGAGAACCTCTCGTCATGGGGTCTGGGGGCAAGAGACTGTGGAGGGACTTGCCAGACTTGAGTATGGAAATAACAGAGCGCTTCCAAGGTAAAATATGCCCACAATGTGCGGTAGATGCTTTGTTCGTTGGCTTACTCGTCAGCATAGGGCCCGAGCAGTACCTTTCAGATACACCGTCACCAGCGGACCTTGAAACTGCAAAGACGTTATGGAAGAACTTCAATACTTTCCTCGCCCTCAGAGCCACAAGCGATAGGGCGCAGACAATTCCAGTTCTTGCAAATGGGATTCGCATGGCCCGCATGACCTTGGCGACAGCCCTTGAACACTCACCAAACACACGTAGGGGCAAGAAGACTGATCTGCACATACCCGCTGCCGAGGCATGGTTCCGGATTGCGGGAGATGAGATTGAAAAGCTTTGTGAAGCTGGGACGGAGACTTTGCCCCCGGGTGATCTTTGGGCCAGTCAAGGGGGCGGGGATGTTTGCGACAGTGCTAGATTGGAGTTCTGGAAGAGGAGGATGTCTGAGTTGGGAGCCAAATATGGGGAAGCAGCGTAGGCTTCGGGCCTTGTGGATGTAGCCTGGTCGCTTGAGAAGGGATCGCGAGGTCTGGCAGGTGCCGTAGGTGCGAGGCAGCAAGACACACCAGCCACGACTTCACGCAAGAATATACTATTAGATAGGGAGTATCACAACTTGAAGAGCCTATAGGGCGCTAGGGAGCACGCAACTGCGACTGTCTCCACAGGGCAAGTCGCAACAACTCGTACTGCGTCTACCTAGGTATGCTAGCCTAAAGTAACGTTGATATCTGAGTATGCAGGCTTTCGCTATTCTAATCGTGAGACTCTTGATTTGTTGACGCGATGGTTAATCTAATGGTGGCTCGTTGATTAGTAGTGTGGCAGTGCCTGCATGCACACTTACCCCACCAAGGCTGAGCATGCCTTGCCTCAGATGCGACTCCGCCCTACGCCTCTCTCTTTAGCTTCCGTCCATCATATATTCTTACGTGCTAGTTCCCGAGGTCTCCTCTCGTCCCCATTCACCATCCCATCATGTCGTTCGGCTTTTCTGTTGGCGACTTGATTGGTGCAGCAAACTTAACATATCGTTTAATCAGAGCGGTCCAAGGCAGCCACGATGCAGGTGAAGATTATCGAAACGCGGTCCATGAGCTAGGATGTATGCAGCAAGCATTCATGCGGGTGAGCTGTCTAGGCTCAAGTCGGAACGTCTCTCAAGCTACATTCGAATCCGCATCGTATATCATCATGGGGGCCATGAGCGTCATCCAAGACTATCTTGATAAGACTAAAAAGTACGAACGAAGACTAGGTAAGCTAGGAACTTCGGGCATAGCGCAGAATTGGAGGAAGTTCGGGTGGACTTTGTACAAGGCGGACGACATGAAGGAGTTGAGAGAAACGCTGCACAAAAGGCTCACTTCATTGAATGTGTTATTAGTGGCTGCCAATCTGTAAGTTGAGAAGTCTGCATACTTTGTACATTCGCTAACTTGGTATTGGAGTGAGCCCATCGGTACTGGCGACGCCGCGAGGTACGCAGTAAGTGACGAGCAGCCATCATCGAGAAATCGTAGCGCATCGACCACCCAAAACGACTCGAGCGCCAAGGAGCCAGTGCCAGCTGGGGAATCGCAGCCTCTTGGTTCAAGCACTGGCAACGAAGAGTCGTTAGGAGCCGAGTCTAGAACGCCTATCCCGTCGATAGAAGCTGAACCGGACCTCGATACGGCAAGTCTGACATCCATACCTTTTTCTCTGTCGACGTTCTCGCCTGTGGAGCTGAGATTGTTGATCACGGACCCCACAAGGCGCTCGGCCAGAATCAGAGAGATTGCTGGACTGATGCGAACTTTGATCTCAATGGGTGATCATCAACTGGATATAGACAACCCCAAGGAATTTATCTTGCTACTAGATCGAATCTGCGCCGAATTCCATAACGACCACGACAAACAGCCCATCAGTTTCAAGGATGCAGTAGGGCGAAAATTTAGTTTCCCATGGCACGTATGCAAGACATGGAAGGTAAGACTAAGCATCTCCAGCCTTGAATGACCATGTTGCTGACTTGGAGCTAAGGGAATGGAAGAACTGATTAAGCTAGCTTTCCTCCACGTCGATGTGATTGGACCACATGTGCACGAAGGACACTATGACCTCGTCGGCCCTGATGGCGAGATCATATTGCCACAGGTGTGGGAAACTATGATACAGCCTGGCTGGGCTGTCACAATGCATATGTGGCCCATGCCCGAACCTACACCTCCGCCAGAGCCGCCCAAGAAAAAGTCACCATATGTTCAGAGCGATCCGACCAACCAATCATGGGCAAGGACCAGCCGCACGTCCACACCAGAAGAGAAGGTCGTGAAAGAATGAGCAGATGACCGGAACGCCAAATTGTAGCAGAAAGCAGCGTGGCAGATACATCATCGGGATAAGGAAGCTTTGATGCTCACATATGTGAGCGCGGCGGAGACAATACTCATGCGCGCCATCCACAACACCACAAAAGCTCGTCAATAGGCCTACATTTCATTATTACGTAGCTCCCGATAACTCGCAGATAGCTTGTATAATACAAACAATACTTAAGCAGCCGGATCTAAGAATCCCTCCAACGTCTCGTAGTTCAACGGCTTGAACAACTCGTTGCTCAAATCCGCGCCGCTACTGCCCAGCAAGCCTTCGAAGTTCTCGAACGCTGCGTCGAAATTCAACCAGTCTGGTGACTGTTCAGCGAAACCGAAACCCGCGGGTGGGCCCGTCATAGGCGCCGCGCGATCTGCACGTTCGCTGCTTGTGGGGTGTTGACCGGGTGTAGGAGCGCTTATCGGGTTGAGAAGACTGTTCATGGGTGAATTGGCGTGAGGATGATTTTGATGCTGCTGGAGTCGAGGGTCGATAGGCGTCTCACCCATGTTCTGCGACCAGGGTTGTGACTGGTTTTGCGGTGGCAACTGGTTGTTGTGTGTATTTTGCAGTGCTGGCGGCTCCGTCTTCGGCTCGGTCGGTCGGGGTTCGGCTGGAACCGGTACCGGTGTATTGACAGCGTTGGTGTTGCGCCCTGCTGCATTGCTAAGTACAGCTCGTCCGAGATCAGCTGTCGTGCCTGCAGACCACCACGAGTTTCGTAAACGATCGAGGAGGCGGACGCATTGCTTCAATTCTTCGGTAGCGCGGTTAACGTGCACCTTCAGGCGCCTAGATCGGAAGTGGCGATACACTACGCTGAGGGCTACACCGAGCGCGTAGGGTACGATCGGAAGCGGTGGGAGGAGTTCGGGGGATTCAGCGTTGAGAAGATGGATCACTCGTGTCGCGGAGAGACTCTGTCGGACGTAAGAGGGCGTTGACTTGACCGGCGCGTTGATGGAGAGGGATTTGTGGGAGGCCATGCACATGGTGTGATGGAAAAGCGATAGAAGACCTGAAAATATTAGCAAAAATGGAAATTCGGAATTTGAAGCAGCTTACTCATGATAGGGCCATCGAGCTTGTCTTCGCCGTCTCCAACCATCTCTTCAAATCCTAGGAAGTCATCACCTTCCCAACCTGTCTCTTCAGCAGCTCTGCCAGGCCTATAGTAGTCGATGACCTTGTCCAACATCTCGGAGATTTGAAGCCAAATTCCAAATGGGCTTGATCTCTTTTCGGGGTCTTGAGGGAGCTGTCTCAAACTGTTGTCGCGATCATGCATCAGCAAAGGCCTTCCGTTCATACAAGCGTTAATCTTATCCAGACTCCAAAGACACCAGAAGACGTCCTCCAGATTGCCTTGAGATTCCGAACTTTGGTTTTTCCATTGATGTCCAAATTGGAGGCCGAAGGTATGCGCGTGATGGATGGCTTGTGCAAGATGCATGGAGGCTTGCTCAGCGCCATCTGGGCCTTCGCAATGAAGTGATATGAGAGCAAGCACCTGGATGAGCACGACGCGATTCTTCTCTAGCTTTGCTTCGATCCCAACAATGACGGCATTGTAGAGCCTTTGAGAGAACTCGCGTGGATTGAGTGGCTGGGTCTCGTTACCCAAATAAAGGTGCTTGGCGGCTGTTGCGTGTTTTGAAGCGACAATACAAATTGCTTGCATCAGAATTCGAGGTTCCCGACCATAGTTGTACTGCTCGTAGAACAGCTCCTTGTCCACAAGCGGGAGCAGCGGATGGACGTAGCTGAAGTAGATCTCGAGAAGCGCAGTTTGGTTCATACGAGAAGGGAGTATATCAACTCCGACCGCGTCTAGGTAGGTTAGGAGAGCCCTAGATACCTGAGCCTCCTGGTTGGAATGCGGACCTGTTTCTACTATCCGCGAAGCGCCTGAACCCACTTGCGACGATGCCTGTCTCTGATCTCGTTCTTCGATCCATTGTCCAATGGGAGGATGGCTGGGCGACTGAGCAGTCTTTCCACGCTCGGAGTGAACTTGCTCTCGCAAGACGGCTTCAGGGTTGAGATAGCCCAAGAAGTTGGGTGGTGTTTGGACTGTGTGGTCCGAGGCCGGGCTTTGCGGCGGCGGCATTGTGGATTGAGCATGACCGTAGTCTCCACGCGCCCCCCTGGGATCATGATAATGTCCGTTCGTAGAAGGGCTGTCTGAGGATGTCGGATTGCTTCCGCCACCAATTTGGGGAACGCTGCCGCCACCCGTGGCTCCCTCGTCATCATCGAACGTATGCGAGCACCTTTTCTAGTATAGCGTCAAATGATGGCCTTCAGAAGTTTACTGCTAGAACTTACTCTTCTCTTCTTGCATGATTCGCAGGCGCGGTGGACTCCTGCGCGACGCTGTTAGCTGCTGCTGCTTGTTGTGTTGCGCACGGTCTATACGCACTTTTGCGCTTTCGGAAAAACTCGTTATTCGCAGCAAATGTTATCATTGTCGACATGTCGGCGGCCTGTGAGCGCGCTTCGTTCAGACAGCGCAGGTTGTGTATCGCAGGTAAGAGTCGCTTGGTCTCCGTAAGACAACACGAGGGTGACGTTGCCAAGGTGGTGTTTCGTACACGTGATACGGTCGCGCGCCTGCCGCCTCCGCATTTGTTGGCGCTTGTGGAGCCGAGGCGATGGATTGGCCGCCAAAACCGTGAAACCGCAGGCATCACGAAGCTGCCCTACCGTTCGCATATTGCGGAGCAGCCCGGCTCGTCAATGTTGCTCACATCAACCTATACCCTGAAGCATACGGTGTGGTTTATTGTTAAGATACTAACAGGCAGAAGCCGATGTATGCGTCAGGCCGTGTTTCTGTCGTAAATATCACAACACGGCAACAGCGACCTTTCGCGGAGCTCATCTCGATACGGTCTCGTACTGCCTCGCTCGCCTTCCGTCCGTCCCGTCTCGCTCTATCACCGATACGGTTGCGCCTCCTATCACCGATAGTGCTGCTAATTAGACTCGCTCTAGTCGTATCCCCGCACCGAGAGACACGAGTACTTCCGTCTCTTACTTTGTTTCACATTTGAGAGTTCCTCTCAATATCATTCGCAAAAGCTACAGATAGCTCGTTTCGATGCGCCATCGCAGCATCAGTGGATGGCAACTGAAGCAGCCCTGGAGGGCATCCCACGCCCGTTCTAATCTTGCGTACCTTTCTCGGGCCTTCATATGCCAGGCGCGGACCACGTACCTGGAGAAACCATGGTGATAGCATCTGACAACCCTTACCGCACGCTTCATCGATATGATTCGGATGACATGACAGGCCTCCCATTACCGGTGCGCGTTCCATGTCGTGCGGAATGGACAAATGGACCAACAAACCGATCCAAAAACAGGACATCCGGGAGGCACTTACCAACGTTTCATGGCTTGTCGAACTCACAATATAGGGGCCTGGATGCCTTCAACACGCCTGAACGTATCCATATGTTCGGCGTAACCAGCATGTATCTGTCCGACGATGCTTTCATCATATGGCCAACTCAATTTGGTGTCACGTGTATGTCAAGCCGTTTGTCGCTCAGAGAGATTGCTCTGTCACCCAACGTGACGGTATTGATCACAAACTCATCGGACTCCCAGCTATAAGTGCATGAATGTAGAAGCTACCAATCCGCCCGATTAATATCTAGTATGGTCGAGCCAGAAGCCGGTATCATGCGCCTTGCACGCGAGACTCGTCAGATGATTTACGATTACATCGTCAGCGACACCCCAGATCGGACTATCAGAGTGACACTGGTCAAGTCGACACTGAAATCGAAAGACAAGCTTCAGAAAGACAAGCCCCAGAAGGAAGAGCCCCCGAAAGACAAGCTTCATGTCGAGAATTGGGGAACTATCCTGAATCTTATCTGCACGCATTGGACCTTCGAAAACGAAGTACTATCCTACCTGTACCAAAGCTTTACATTCGTATTGAAGGATAGCGAACGCACTTGTCGCCCCATTGTTGGAGCTTTCTATCGAGCCCTGGCGCCTAAGAACAGAGTCCGTGTACGAAGGATTGCCATTCCTTTCTTTACCATTCGTAACCTTTTCGACCCCGCCCATTTCGATGATTCGTCTGTGCTTCAACGTTCCCAGGAACACCGTCTTAACATCATCGATAATGCCCATCTCCACCCATACGTACTCAAAATCTTGGCTCTAAGCGATGATACACGGCTTCAGAAAGAACAAGCCAAGTTACTCGATGAACTCGTTTATGCGCTCCTCCTATTGAATCAGATGCCGGGTTTGGAGTGCCTCACACTCGGTGTCGACGTCCTTGAGTTCCTAACCGAAAGTATCCTCCGGCCCGAAGGAATCTACCGGGGCGAGCCATCGGTGCCAATATCCGATCTTACTGTTCTCATCGATCAAGTCAGGCAAGGCAAATTGCATCGTTGGCATCGTTTGATCGATGTTCTGGGTGGGATCAGAGGCTTAGGTAAACTGCGCTACGTTCGACTGGAACTAGACTGGAGTAACTTCGTGCAGGACAAATATCAGAGAGCTGGTGTGACATTTGGACCACCATGGTCGAAGGATGTCAAGGAAGAGATGGAGCTACGATTCAGCAAAATGGTCACTGCATGCATCACGAACATGGTTGCGAGGACGGAGTATAAACGTCAGGAGGTATTGGATTTCCCCGGTATTGAAGTTGTCTCGGGGAATGTCTAATGGGCTGTGGTACATCAACAATACATTGGCTGACCCGCATCATATGTATCTGTGAGGACGTCTTCCTCTGTCTTATTTCCAACCCTCCTCCCTCAGTCTCTTCCTAACATCCATCAACGCCCTCCCCAAAAGATTCTTCCCCCACCGATACCGATTCCTCTCCGCATCCTTCTCCGCAAACCCCACGCCCCAAATTCTATCATGCGGACTCGCCTCCACCAACTCCCTCTCTCCAGTAGCCAACAACATGCCTCTCAGATTCTCCGCATCCTCGCTAATCGTAAACTTGTGATAATTCCCTTGAGTCACAATCTCCAGTTTTCCTGTCGCCCAGTCAGCATCGCCCTCCTTCTAATATCATATCGAACAACAGGAAGTACATACGCTCATCCCAAACCTTCTCATCAAACCCGCTAACCATCCGTCCTAGCTCTTTATGCGTCTTCGGATCGGTAGTCTCGAGCATTTCTTTCGCAATGTTTTCGTCGTTGAAACAACGTGCTTTGTGCACCATCATCCACATTTCGGTTGTGACGTAGATTTCGGCATCGAGGGTGAACTTGGACCAGTACCATTGGCAGAGGTAGCCGTTGCCGTCGCGGGGTTGCCAGAAGAAGACTGGTTTGGGGGCTGGCGTCGTTGAGCTGGAAGAGGTGGATGGGTGGGAAACTGTTGTTACGCGCATGGTTGATGTCAGTGCGTTGTGTAGACGGTGGCCGGTGTGCTGGTATTATGTATCTTGTGGGTTATGACGATGTGCGGAGAGTATTGTCTGCTGTAGGGTTGTGACGCGAGTAGGCTTCGTGCACGGTTTGGAATCCGGGTCTAACATGCATAAAGTTCGTGATGATGTGACTCATGCATAGCCGTGCTTTCTCAGGTACCATCGATGCTTTAGGCACTAGTGGTGGTGTTACACCATGGGCGAGCGACGAATTTCCACCCAATGGTAAGAACCGAGTTACATCAACTCGACTTGCTGCCAGCGACAATATAGTGACGCTCATGTATTACCCACATTTCGACTGCAGTTGATGAAGACAAAGGACGGTGTTGTTCGAGCCATGTCAACCATAACACACCCTGACGGATACATTACACTCACATTTTCAGTACATCAACGTAGAACATGGCGAACACCTTCAGGCCTCATCGAAACAATGCATTCTACTGAGAAAACAATAGAGCTACAATGACATTCGTAGCCTGGAAAGCGCCCCTAGTACGAACAAGAGAAGCAAAAGTTTGGGGTATCTTCTTAAACGCCGCACCACCATCGTCTGTCTCGGACCATACTTGCGGAAAGGCAGCCTCGACGCTGACGTCCGACTCCGCTTCGCCCGTCCAATCAAAGCTGATGTGCCAGCTGAGCTTCAGGAGGACGTGTTTGTCTTGCAAGACCAGAGTATCACGACCCAGATTCCTACTCAAGTCCTTCCGTGTGATAGTGTTCGTGGGCTTGCTTTGGTGCCGTGACTGGGCATTCTCGGTGTCTTCTGAAGTCCGGCCTACGAGTAGATGCGCAAACGCAGTCTCGCACTTGTGCCAGTGTTGTGCCCGCTTCTTCGCAATCTCCCAGTACGAGTCCATAGCCCAAGACGCATTACCCAGATCTCTTTCCTGCGCTCTCGCGCGAATAAAAGTGCCCAGTTCACGTTCAGCCCACGGCGAGATTCGTAGAAGTTGCATTTCGATTATCTCACTCGCTAATGCGTCAATGGTGATCGAAACCTGGGCTGTGAGCAGCTTTTGTGGACCGGCGATGTCGATGGTATGCTGCTGGTGGACCCGCCGTGAGGTTGGGGATATCTTGCCGCGGGGCAGGCTGAGTTGTGTGGAGAAGTTGAGTGATGTGAACATTTGGAGGCATGGCAAGGGATCCGCGAGTTCGACTGGGCGATGTGATGGGACGGGCTTTTCCTCTTGTTTCGGCCGTGGTGGAGGAACGGAGAGGGCGGCGAATGGTAGGAACGAACAGAGCAGACTTGATACTGGTGCTGGCTTCTCCAACTCTGTTTCGGTGCCGCTGATATCCGATATGAACTTGCTGGTATTTTGTCAGTCACAGTTTGGCAATCATGGGAGGCTTTTAGACTCACTTGAGACTGTCGCGCTCTGGAGACCGCAGAGTATCCTCTGGACCGCGACGCTGCTCCTTCACGACTTCTTCGATGCATCTTGACACCTGAGACTCCAACTCTTCTACTTCACGTTGTAGACGCGCCTTTTCCTGTTTCCTTCTCTCAATTTCTGGATCTGGAGTCTGCCTCTTCTGTACCACTTCTTGAGTTATCTCTTCGGTTATGTCTTCCACTGGGCCATCTTCTACCGTCCCTGTGAAATCGTCTGATTGTACCGCTGGCGCTCTCGAACTCGGTGGGGGTTGCTTGATGGGATCTCTGACGCGCGAAGGTCGCTTGCTTGGCGAGGAGAATATCATCGTTCGGCGCGGCTGCTTTGATGTTGCGCGGATGTTCTGTGATGGTGTCCCTGGGAGTTCTGGCAGGTCGCTCTCGCTAGGTAGTTCCACTTCGGTCTCTTCCCTTCCTGTGGAGCCATTTCTGGCTGCTACAGGTCGGTTTGGGTTGCGCTTCGGAGATGCGGAGAGAAGATTCGGATAGTTGCGCGCAAGACTGGCTTTGGTAGGCGACGCGAAAGACGGTCGTCGCGGAGGTTTCCTCAGCGGACTTGACGCTTGTTCGGCGGGCGAGCTGGTCCTCCTCCGCTTCGCGGGTGGTTCGTTCATGATGTTCGCATATGAGGCTTTCGCAAGATCCTCAACTTCGGCGCGTATTTGGGGCGCTTTTGTGGTAGTAATATGTCCGGGTTGGGAAAGATGGGCTGGTGGGGTATGCGACGATAACAGTGAATGCGACGCGTCGGCGCGTGTTGTTGCCCTGTCGGCGTTCGCTGCAGCTTTTGCCGACGCTCGGAAAGGCGGCGCAAAATGACGTCGAACCGTCAATCGTTACTTTCAATCAGCTGCGAATTGGCAACCGAGAAGAGTGGCTAACTTCGACATGTCATAACGAAGCGATTTGTGTGACTGCATCATCTCTTCCCAATTGTTTCGGGGCCAATGGAACGCATCGCATACTCCGGGCAACTGGCACTGCGCCAGGAGCTCTGCGCTTCGTGCTTGAAGACATGGCGCAGGTCGCGTGCTTCGATCGAGGCAAGGCGAATAGGACTTCAAAATAGCAATCGGATACAGCGTCGCTACAAAGGCTATGTTGCACCAGAAGGCGAACAAGCCAGGCCTATCACCGGCTTCTATGCAGGTTGGACCCTCACCCACATCGCCAGCGGTACTCGAACTAACGAGATCCAGACATGCTGAAGAAACCGCTGTCGGAAGTACAGCCACTATCCCACACAACGCCCGAGCCGCCAAAAGAGCCACCGAAGACGCAGAAGGAAGAGACATTTGCAAAAGCCCGTATCATCTTCGGGTCTACCACGGCCTTGGAAGAACGTAAACAGGAAATCATGAAATCGTCCCAGAACGTTGCCGGCGTACTGGTCCCTCCGCGACCCGAAGAACCAGACAACTGCTGTATGTCTGGATGCGTGAACTGTGTATGGGACATGTATCGAGATGAGATGGAAGAGTGGGCGGAGAAGAGCGCCCAAGCAAGAGCGGCAATGCAGGCACAACGGCAAGAAGGAAAGGGAACAGGCAGCATGGTGGCAGGAGACACATCACCGAGTCATGTTGCAACGAGTATGGACGATGATGGCGGTGGCAGTGAAACGAATTGGGACACTGGTTTCGATGATGCGGAGAAAGACAAGTTGTTTGACGATATACCCGTGGGCATTCGGGAGTTTATGAGGACGGAGAAGAAGTTGAAGCAGGCGCAGAAGAAGGCTGAAGCCGCTGCAGCAGCGTGAGCTTCGAATTCGGCAATACCCATACAGTCATCTTGCCATTCAAATACCCATCCATTACATATCTTGCGATTTTCCATCCTATGCCCCAAAATAACACCAATTATGCTGCACCCCAAGCTTCCGTCTCGTCTAATCTTCGCCGACATCCACGCCCTTTGCCTGAAGGTCTTTCCGCGCCTCCGCTATTTGCTGCATGAGCTCCTTGTGCGCGTCCGGTACGTCGTTGAAGGTGAAGACTCCCCAGCCGAGCTTGAAGAGAAGGTATGCGCCGAAAGAGATGAGGGCCCAGAAGGGTAGCTATGGTTTGGTTAGCGGCAGCCCAGTACAATAACAATGGAGATGGTGAAGGTAGTGGGGCTGCGCGTTCAGGTAAAGCTAAGACTTACGAAAGGGACAATCTCCTCTTGGATCTTCTGAGGCAGCGGGACGACTTGGAGGAACAGTGAGAGGTAGATCTGTCACATGTTAGCATCCAATCTTGTATATGTAGAGGTAAGGGGCTGCATACGGAGGTGAGGAGCATGCCAATGCTGATGGTCTGCGTGGCGCGCGTCATGTTGGCGAATTGGTTGTTGTAAACGGGTTAAACGAGGGTCGGTGGTCGGAAGAAGTGCGGGTGAGGGCGTGATGTTCGACGTCTGTGGTGGTGAATGTTCGGTGCCAGATCGCTCAATTGCTGCCAAGGGATCTGTGTCCAGGGGTCCAACGGAACCGGCCAAAGGCAAGGCCAACCGCGCGGTGGGTCGACGCTGCCGCAGGAACTCACCCCGTTTCTTTCCGCATCTGCAAAAAACAAGTGGCTGAACTATTGATTGCACTTTTTCTGGAGTTCTCCTGAAACCAATCCGACTAGTAGCCATCACCTGTACGGCGGCTCCGGACGACTGCGAGTAGCCGTTTCATCCTTGCGCAATCTCTACCGCCACTATGCACACTTGAGCTTTGCCACGACTTTGAGCGACTGCGTTTCTTCATCTTCACACTTTTGCGATATGCCATTATCCAATGAGGAGCTTGGCGACTATATAGCGTCTTTAGAGCGCCTACTCCAAGCCAACCCTGCAGGCCAGACCGCTGTCCTCACAGGTTACGTGCATAAGCTCGATGCGTTTGCAGCAAGTGGGGACAATGAGGCCATAGAGAAGACCTTGCAGCTGTTTGGGACGGCTGTTGGCGGTCGGAGTATGTTATGCCTCTGTTCAAAGCCAACCCTGCTGACACTGTATAGAAAGATGGCAGGCCCCGTTCCGCGACAGCGGCATCCTTGCTTATGCTCTTCGTGGCTTGTGTACCGTTCGCCATGAAGATCCCGTAGCAAAGCAATACCTGAGAGTCATCGGCAACTCGGTTGCTGACAATGGTACTGTAACCTGAAGAGACCCTCGTACGACGCAAACAGTCTGACTGGAGTCAAGATACCAACAGAGAGCTCGCCGTGAGAGAGCTCGGAGCCATCGCTGGCTGCCTTCCCTCGCCAGAACTACGCTTGACCACTTTGGCCGTACTTTTCAATCTTTGTAATGATTTTGGTGAGCAATGCCACAGGATCCTCCAGACATGCAGCTCATGCAGATAGAACCCGGCAAAGCTGCAGCGGCTGCCCTCAGACTGGATGCCACAATATGCACCTTCCTAGTACTAGACAGAATCCCGGAAGCAGCCCTGGATTACGCTACGGACCTGCTGAGCTGGACCACAAGCAACCTGAGCGACGCCCAGTTCAAAGACGAGGTTTCGCTGGAGACATTCAAGAGTCTGCTGAACGTGGCACTGCAATACGATGAAGACCATCATCTGGAGTACGTGGCCATCCTGGTACATTACCTCCAAGACCCAGAGTTCCAGCAAAGGATAGCAACACCGAAACTTCTCGACGACCTTGTCACCCTGATGCTGGAGTTTGAGGCCCGATTGGAGCCAGAGGACATCGAAGCCGTCTTCCAGGAACTCGCGACAAGCAAAAACGCAGATACCACCACATCAGACGAGGCGCAGGTTCTTCTGATGGCTCAACTCATTGGGCTGCTATCTGCTGCTTCAGCAACAGATGTCTTTGCACGAAGCTTCAACGTCAGAAGTCCTGTTATCGAGAGGCTGGAAGCAAAGCTGCGCGCACCTTGGGAGAGCGCATACCCATCTACAATATGCGCTTGTGTCATGGTCGGAAATCTGGCCATGTCTGATGAGGTTTGCATAGACATGGTCAAGATCATGGAACTTCACGTTCGATTGATTGTGATTCTCAAGAAGAGCACTAAGCCTGCCCTTCTTTATGCTGCAGCTGGTTTCATGCGGCACCTTACGTTTCCAGAGGCTAACAGGGCTTTGCTTGCAGATGCCGGACTCATGGAAGCGTGTTGTCGCATGCTCGTACTGGACGATCCTTCGGTTCGAGGCGAGGCGGCAGCTATGCTGTGCAAGCTCGTCACTGGCAACTTCTACAATATCGAAAAGGTCATGTACGAGACTGTTGGCCCTGACACAGAAGCCATCGACCCGGACATCTCAGCCGACACCGTAATCTTCTCCCATATTGTCGAGCAAGCCCTCGCTCCGTCCGCACCATTACCAAGCACTACGATGAAGAACCCAATGATCGAGCTTGGCCGCACCATCGTCGCCATGCTACGGTACCTTGGACGACCAAACGCCGAAAAGGACGTTGAAGCAGTGCAAATACAGATCTTACAAGTACCCCAGATAGCCAAACCGATCGCCCAGCTTGTGCGGCAACGCTTCTACCCCGAGGCTCGTTCCGAAGGACTACTCGGCCTAGGCCTACTCGCCCAAACACTTGAGGGCGCTGCAGCCATTGCCGAAGAGATAAAAGAGGACAGCGGCCTCCTCGAAACAATCAAAGAGCACGCCAACGCAACAGAAGCAGGTCTCGCGCAGCAATCCCCATCAACAGCTAGCCGAGATCACCAGAACGCGATTGTGCTGCTCCAGGCGCTGCAGAACAATGCGGTAAGAGAACTCCAAGAAGCCGTCGGGGAAGTACTAAGGACTTCCAGACTGACCAAATGGACGCAATACTCTCGCATTAGACAGTCTCTGTCTAAGCACCAAGGGCGTCGCTCTTCAGGCGACGTCAGCACACTGGGTAGCCCTGGAGGCGCCTCGCCGGGGAGAGTCAGAGAGTTGGCTCGCAGGGCTACTACGGATGCGCCTGGCATGTCGCCGGGGAGGGCGAGGGGGTCTACGCTTGCTAGTGAGACCAATTCAGATGAGCGGCCACGGACTCCTGTGAGGGTTCGGGAGGTTATTGGCGAGATTGAAGAGGTGTCTCCGAAGACAATGATCAAGGAATCGCCGGCGAGGGAACGGTTAAAGGGTAAAGGCATGAAGCGGACCAATACGGCGCCGCAATGATTGCGATGATGGTTATGCCTTATGTTTTTATTATCTACTCTACTTCTTCTTAATAATGCACTCTCCACTTATGACAACTATAACTGGTATTGCTGTTGATGTGATGTGATCGAATGGTTGTGGTCGCCACTACATCTAAACTGCCTGTTCCGAGCGAGACTCACCTAACACCACCTCGCGCCACTTGAAAACCACCGTACATATCAATCAGATAACCCTCAAACGATCTCCAACAAATGGAAGGGAAGCGAAAAGCAGTGAATAATCAGCACGGTGGCGCCTGCGAGTCCTGAGCCTCACTCCGCACCATCAGCGTAATCAAGAGCACTCTGATTGGCCAGACGAGCCACTCACGTGGATTCACGCGCTAGCAATCCAGGGTCCATGACATAGTACTTAGAAGAGAGCTGGGTATAAAGAAGGGCTGTCTGTCGACGTATTGAAGGGTATCTACAGTTCAAATCTATTTACGCAAACTACTTCTCGATCTCCCACTCGATCAACCAAATCAACAACAACTATATATTCAAACCTACCAACCAACCAACCAACCAACTCCAACATCCAAGATGGTCTGCTGCGGACGTAACAACGGCACCTGCGTATGCGCTCAAGAGGCAAAGTGCTCGTGTGGAAAGCAGCCTGCTCTTCAATGCAGTATGTCGCTCCCTTCTTTCCTTCACCTTATGCCCTCTCTCCCTAGTCCGTATACCCAAAATCCACCGCCTACCGCCTACCACCCATCCACCTTATATCCCATGCATGTATACTGACGTTTGAATAGCCTGCGACAAAGCCGCCACCGAGAACAAGCTCCCCACCGACTCCTCAGCATGCGCATGCGGAAAGCGGACAGAGGATGCGTGCAACTGCGGTCGCGCGGACAACAACGGATCGAGCAGCCTCGAGACCGACTTTACTACTAGCAAGTAGAGGGACGACTGTGGTATGAGGGTTTGAGGCGTATGTGGGTGTGCGGTGGCGTGTAGCATGAGAGGGTGTTTTTGGCGTTTACATGGGACGGTCGAAGGATCGAGGGTATACCTGATATCAGTAAATGATGATTTGAAAGTTCAAACTTATCCTGTGGTGTCTTGGGTTCGTGATCGGCGCGTTGACGCGTCGTGTTGCGGACGCGTGCGTTCCTCTCTACTCTTGTCCTTGTCCACTCTATTCATCGCACAATGTCTTCGGGGACATGCTGGAGACTTTCGCGTTCATGGGAAACGTGTGTAGTACAGTGGACGTCGCCGCTGCTTTCTCGGTCTCTATGTTCCTGATCGTGTTGCGGTGGTATCTCATCGATAGCTTGCGGAGCTCGGGGGAGAGCGGCACGGTCGGAGGTGTGTATACAGTAAACTCTAAGGCTATCGCGGCTTTGCTGGAAAGTGCCCTGTTCAGTACTGTCTAAAATTGAATGCATGGGCCTGCACTTGCCGTAAGGGTCAAAATCGCGATGTCTTGCTCCTACTTTGACTCGCACGGGCAGGAGCTACACGCTAGACCCTGTTTGCTTGGCATCCATGTGTAGAACATCCACTTATTCCCCCGTCAGTCGTGCATGCAGAGAAACAACTAGATAGCTTGCCGGGGTGTTGTGCGTCTTCCTTGCTTGTTCCAATTCCATGTCCTGCTCTCGATTGCGCCATAAGCCTGCAGCCAGCGTCTAGAAAGCGCTGACAGGCGCCCCTTTCGCGAACTATCGACCTCCGCTCCGCAGCGCGCACGCCGGCATAAACCCTGCCTCGAGGCCCGTACCGCACCATTCCATAGCGCACCACCACTACCGCCGCCGCATTGTCGGGCTACTTACCAGGTGGGAACCGCCCACCCACCACGTCGTCTACTACCACCAGCATGGCGGCCTCGGTCACTTCCAAGATGGCAGCGAGGGCTGGTGGAGGCCTCTTCAGCCGGGAGCAGTCGGGCAACGTGCCCACGATGCGAGGTACATGACGGCATGCCCACGAACAACGGACCGAAGCTCACACGCGGACAGGACTGGTCTCATTCATCGCTGACCTGAGGAATGCTCGCGCGAGAGAACTCGAAGAGAAGCGCATCAACAAGGAATTGGCCAACATACGGTGGGTACACGCTGCCGAGTTCTAAGCATGTCCGGAAGGCTAACATTACCGCAGGCAAAAGTTCAGAGGTACTTCTCCTTGGATACACCTTCCACATGACCTGCTCTGACAGAACTCCCCCCAGATGCTGGCCTGAATGGCTACCAGAAGAAGAAATACGTCTGCAAGGTACACACGCCACTCACCGACTCTCCCGCCCTATTGCTGACTCCCGCAGCTCCTCTACATATACATCCTCGGATGGAACGTCGATTTCGGACATCTCGAAGCGGTCAACCTCATCTCCGCGACCAAATACTCGGAAAAGCAGATCGGATACCTCGCCGTTACCCTATTCCTACACGAGGAGCACGAACTGCTACACCTGGTCGTTAACAGCATCAGGAAGGACCTGCTGGACCACAATGAGCTCAACAACTGCCTGGCGCTGCATGCGATTGCGAACGTTGGTGGAAAGGAGCTGGGAGAGGCACTAAGCGCCGAGGTTCACAGGCTTCTGATATCACCGTGAGTGGCATGAGATGGGTTTCGTGGCCAAGCTGACGTTGAATAGGGCTTCCAAGGCATTCGTGAAGAAGAAGGCCGCCCTTACACTCCTGCGATTATACCGGAAACACCCTGCGATCGTACAGCACGAATGGGCGGAACGGATAATATCCCTCATGGACGACCCCGACATGGGCGTGGCGCTTTCCGTGACCTCGTTGGTCACCGCACTCGTCCAGGACAACACCGAGCAGTACAAGGGAAGCTATATCAAGGCAGCGAATAGGCTGAAGCGGATAGTAGTGGACAACGAGTGTGCCGAAGGCTACTTCTACTACAAGGTGCCATGCCCATGGATACTTGTCAAGCTGCTCAAGTTGCTGCAGTACTACCCACCTCCCGGTTTGTGTCCTCCCCAGCTATTATCGACTCGCGCTAACAAAAACAGAGGACTCACATATCCGAAAGCTGATTCGCGAAGCGCTCCAAAAGATCATGGACTCAGCCCTCGAAATGCCCAAGAACGTACAGCAGAACAACGCGCAAAATGCCGTCCTCTTCGAAGCGATCAATCTCGTAATACACCTCGACACAGAGCAAGACCTCATGGTTCAAATATCACAACGGCTGGGTAAATTCATCGCGTCCCGGGAAACCAACGTACGGTATCTAGGACTGGAGGCCATGACGCATCTGGCAGCTCGATCAGAGAACCTCGACCCCATCAAGAAGCACCAGGCAATCATCATCGGATCTTTAAGAGACAGGGATATCAGTGTACGAAGACAAGGTCTGGACTTGCTCTACAGCATGTGCGATCCAACGAATGCGCAAGCGATCGTGAACGAACTCCTACGATACCTACAATCTGCCGACTACGCGATACGGGAAGAGATGGTACTCAAGATTGCGATTCTTACCGAGAAGTACGCTACTGATGTTCAGTGGTACGTGGACATATCACTACGGCTGATCGCCATGGCTGGAGACCACGTTAGCGATGAAGTCTGGCAGCGAGTCATCCAAATCACGACGAACAACGAGGAGCTGCAAGTGTACGCTGCGCAAACGATTCTGCAGTACATCAAGTCAGACTGCCATGAGACGCTTGTAAAGATTGGTGGATACCTGCTCGGAGAGTTCGGCCACTTGATCGCGGACAGCAAAGGATGCAGCCCAATCGAGCAGTTCATGGCGTTGAGCGCAAAGATGCGAGGTTGCTCGTCAACGACACGGGCGATACTCTTGTCGTGTTACGTCAAGTACGTGAACTTGTTTCCCGAGATCAAGCCCCAGCTTCTTCAAGCTTTCCGCGCCTACAGCCACTCGCTCGACTCCGAACTCCAGCAAAGAGCATGCGAATACCTCACACTCGCCACCATGCCAACGGACGACCTACTTCGCACCGTATGCGACGAGATGCCTCCTTACCCAGAACGAACGTCAGCGCTGCTCTCGCGGTTACACCAGAAGCATGCCACTACCAGCGACAAGCGAACGTGGGTGGTCGGTGGCAAGGATGCAAATGCGGACCTCAAAGAATTCGGTCTTGCCAGGCAGAATACGTCTGCGGGTGTCAAGAGAAGCTTCACCGAACCCGTACCAAAGGACGCCAAGACCGGCGCAGCAAATGGCGCCAATGGTGTTGCAGCGATATCAAGCGATCTGGAGGGTCTGGATCTCAACATGGATCTGAGCAAGGCTTCCAAAGCACCAAATCTCGCAAGCGCAGCGCATCTCAGTCCGGATTGGGAGGTTGGATACACTCGTCTCCTATTACGGTCGGAAGGCGTGCTCTACGAAGACCAGCAAATACAGATCGGTCTGCGAACAGAGTACCGCGGGCAGCTGGGCGCTCTCATCTTCTACTTCACGAACAAGTCACAGTTCTCCATGGGATCTTTCACCACGACACTCGACAACCGGTCATCGGAAACCTTGAAGACGGACATCAAGGGGCTACCCGACACCTCCATCGCGCCCGAAGGCCAAACGCAGCAAACCATCATGTTCGAATGCAAGAACGTCTTCATCGACCCACCGACCATTCGTATATCATATCTCGCCGGAGCGCTACAAGGTCTGACCCTCCAACTCCCCGTTCTCCTACACAAGTACATGGAAGGCGCCGAACTCAGCGCAGAAGACTTCTTCAAGCGCTGGAAGCAAATTGGTGGTGCTCCGCGTGAGCACCAAAGCATCTTCGGTCTGGTCAACAAGAACAGAACGATGGACTCTGATTTCGTGCAAAAGGTGGTCAAGGGCTTCAAGTGGGGTATTGTGACTGGTGTGGATCCTAATGGCAAGAACATCGTGGGTGCGACGGTGTTACATTCGAGTGAGGGCAAGTTTGGTTGCTTGCTGAGGCTGGAGCCGAACTTTGAGACACAGGTATGTTGGTGTGTGTTGGAATGGGAGAAGAGAAAGCTAACAAATGATAGATGTACCGGATCACGATTCGTGCGACTGATGAGTCGGTTCCGCCTGTCCTCGTCAAGGCTATGCAAGACCGCCTCTCGCAGGGTATTGAGGGCATGGCTTAAACCACTGGGTTCCTTGCCTTCCCACCTCTCTACCAACACCACCACTATTCTTACACCATCACCCTCATGATGTGTACACACCTGGAACCTTTTGTTCATATACTAATGTTTTTGTCTGGGAAACTCTGGGCTGTTGAGAGAGAGCGAAAGAAGTATGTTTGATGGTTGGGCTGGACTGCATATGTAGCGTTCATTCTTGAGGAGGAGGAAAACATTGAGATATGGCGCATACCCTTGTTTCTGGCTCATGTAGCATGATTATATATATTGGAGCGTTTTTTGTTTCGTGGAAATTGGGCTTTCATTTTGATGTTTGTGGGTGATGTTGAGAGGTGACGATGATGATGCTTGAGTGACGCGAATACCTTCAGGATGTGTTTTGCTGTTGCCTTGGAAAAGACGAGCCTCTCCATGTTGCCGTGGCGCACACAAATTCCTGAGGATAAATCATGTATGTTTCAGTTCTGGAAATCCTACAGTTATTAAATGTGTGGTCCAACTTGGTGGAGCTGATGTAACTTGAGTTCAGTCATTGGTTCGAAAAGAATGGCTCGACCAAACCGTATTCCACGGCACTGCTCTCTTTACCCCCATAAAAAAGAACTCAAGTTCTCCTTCTGTCTTCAAAGTAATTTATATTTCTTACAACGTAACACACCACGAAAACCTCCCGGGTCCATCTTCCCACAACTTCCACTACCACAAACACCTGCGTATTCCTCAACCTCACATCCTCCTCTCCACACCACCAAAATGGCCGAACGCAAGACTATCCAGAAGTACTATCCCGCCGACTTTGACCCAGCAAAGCTAGTGCGCTCAAAGAAATCCTCAGCCCCCACCCGCACCGTCGTAAACTTCGCCTGCCCCTTCCGCAGCATGCGCTGCCTCTCCTGTGGCCACTACACCACCAAGGGCAAAGTCTTCCGCAACAGCCCCAAGTACATCTCGCCTGAAACGTATCTCGGCGTGAAGATCGTTACGCTGCATTGTAAATGTCCTGGCTGCGGTGCGGGAATCGTTATTGAGACTGATCCGAAGAATATGGACTACAAAATCGTGAAGGGGGCGGTGAGGGGGTTTGAGGCGTGGAGAGATAACGAGCGCGCCAAAAATACCGAAGAGCAGCGTTTGGAGAGGCTTGAAGCTGAGGGCCTTGAGGGACGCGACGAGAAAGCGACGATGGAGATGCTGGAACGGAAGACTGAGGATGCGAGAGTTGAGGTTGCTGTTGGGGATGCGTTGGATGAGATTAGAGCGGCGAATGCACGGAGAGAGGGTGTTGGTAAGGGGTGTAGCGTGGCTGCCCTTGTGCCACCGAGGGAAGTTGAGGATGCGGAAGATGCGGAGATTGCAAGGGCTGTGTTTAGGGGGACGAAGAGGTGTTCACCAGATCTTAAATCGAGTGAAGAGTCGCTGAATGTAGTGTTTCCGGTGTCTAGGCCGGCGAAGAAGGCGAAGAAGGATTTTGCGAAGACGTTGGGGATTAGGAGGAAGGTGAGGGATTAAGGTCTGAGAAGATTTCGAACAGGCGTTTAGCTTCGGGGAGAGATTCCAATTTTCTCTCCAAACGCTCTAACGGCGTCAATGTACGTCGGAACTCACCCTGATCATGATTACCATCTGGTCATGCGTGTCGCCACCACATGCTTCGATCGTTCGATATTACCCCCATGCTCCAATCGGTAATTATGTAACCCCAAATTCCATACTGTAGTTGCCAGGTTCTTCTGATCCGATAGGCAGGTTCGAGGTTCTGGGGTAGTACGAATAGCGACAACCATCTAAGCTTTTCTGGCAATTCGTCCAATTGTTCAGTGAGTTCCATTCGCCAATTTGCATAGTCATAATCCTCCGAACATATGGGTACGATGCTGAATATATGACGGAGAATTCTCCTTGGGTTGATCTTGTGTTCGTTGTCCTCGAGCTGAGGAAGCCATTCTGCTGCCGTCTTAAAGCAGTGGTGTCTGATAGACACCATTGGCTCGTTTCCATCTGGATCCACAGAGTTGACTTTAGCAGACATGTCTGCTGCGAACTGCTTATTGATAATCTCAAGCAGAATTTCCTGTGGATGCATCGAGTAATCGGGGAATACTCGAAGCGATGGTTTGAGCATACCCATCATACCAAATACTCTGTCTCGTACATTCGAACATTCCGTGCCCCGAATCAAATCTTGGACAGTATCCCAGCTCTTTTCCGTATTTTCTCGACCCTTCGCGATATCCCTTATTCGTTTCCATACGATGCCGCAATAGTTGAGCACATTATTTTCCTCTGTTTCACACAGATCCTTCCAGGCCTCCCAGTTGTATGTCTCCCAGACCTGCATCATTTCATTTATTTTCTGCCAGCCCTCGTAGAATGTGTCCCATGGAACTGAGTTCGAGCCAATTCGTACATGAACGACCCTACCGAGTACGATCTCTTGAGTGACCCATAGTCTCGACCAGTACGCAAGACGTACAAATTGGCGCAATGATCGGAGCAATGCACGCGTTTCCGGTTCACTCACACTAAGCAGTTCCGAGAGAGACTTATGGACGAGACTACCTAAGTGTATAGACTGATGGTCGAGGTTACTTTCGCGGATGATTAAGTCCACAAGCTCGTTGCTCCCTTCGAATCCAGAACCTAGCCAAGCCTCGACGATGGAAGCAGCGCTGTAGATATCCGCCATCTGATTGACTTGATGGGATTTTTCGTCATTTTCCCCTTGATTGATGCATATTTGATCGATCCAGAATGAAGCCGGGTCAATATTTTGTCCTATCTCCAGGAACTCGTCGACGTTTTGCCGAACCGAAAGCCAGTCTCGTTTGATCTTCAAAAAGTCGTAAAGGTTCTGCCGAACGGAAAACCAGCCTCGGCATTCGGAGCTTGTAACATGTATGTTCTGCGCTGGTAACTCAGGACCCCAGGTGTACGACAACGCGGTGAAGTTGACTGTTCCTTGCATGAACTTGTCATATATAGCCCCATCCCGCTCTCTGCAGGCCCCTCGAGGTGCTTGACTTCCAAGCCTATTTACTTCCACGCTATAACGACTAAAAGCATTGATTCGTTCACTAAAGTCGACGTTCTTCATGGTGATTTGGATAGGGCTCGACGGGTCGGAGTTTGGTTCGATCCTGATGAGGCGTATCTCCTTGTCTTTGAAATTCAGTGGAGTGTGCATGAATCGCACATGCTTAGGCGGCAACTCCATCGCTGCGGCAAGGCTGTGTGTGGACGTTGGCTAGGCTTCTGAAACGACGCAGACTTTTGTACGGGCGTCTCGTAGGACCCAGAAGTACAGAATAGTTATTGATGGTTCGCTCTTTCGTTGAACGAGTTGTGCTACATCCGAGAAGTGGGGTGCAGACCGATCTGTAACGTCTGCATCATAGCGAGTCTGGTGTTGTAGCGAAGGTTAAGGTTCTCTGACGTTTTGCAGCATCAAGGCGGAGTAAGCGCAGGAGGCTGAGCGCTTTTGGGCTGACCTCACCTGGGCAACATGCTCAGGCTATGGGCTATGCGAGCCTGTGGACCATCACAACTGGCGGGTTAATCTAACGCAGTCATGGGTAAACTGCGTTTGTGGGTAAATTGACCATTAGAGCGAATAGAATACTTGTATTCCCTACATGACACCGATGTGCTTGCGCAAGTCGTCTACTGTCATGAAGAAAGGTGCAGCTTGCGGCAAGAATCTCAGTGTTTACCGCTGGCAGAAACTAGGCCGAATGGGGCTTAGGGGCTAACGATTGGGAAAGAACGAGCGTGTTCGCACACATCCAGCTCAGAAGAACAGCACTATCAAGGTCAGAAAACGCACGTATATAGCAAAGCATAGTTTCGTCTATTCAATGCAAATCGCATCGAGTTCCAACTGTCATTGCCATTTACCAGAACTTGGTGCAGATCTTCATATGCAGACTGTGAGCTCACCATCCTCACAAACATTCGAGGTCTGCTGGAAAAAACCCTTCTCTTTCCACATCTTTCTTATCGTCTCATTGCATACATACGCGAAACCCCTTCATTCATATACTATACCTACCGTGCGCTGTATGCGATTAATAACCCAAGTGAACCATCTCCACTATCCCCCACACACACCGGTAACACAACACCAACCCTCACCTCTCAAGCGCCCTAACACAACATAAATTCTCCGACGCAAGCACTGCAAGCACCTCCATCGCATCCCTCGCGTCGTGCGACCAAAGACTCGACAGCAAAAGCCTGGTTTGAGCCGGGTACTTGCACCGTGAGCTGCATGGCCGCTGGATGCCTGGTGCTTGTGGGGCGAAGAGAACGCATGGGTGTAAGGTGCAAAGTGCAAGGTGCCGACGCAGGAAGGGAACTGAGCTTCGAAGAGCTTGGGCTTTGGGCTTTGGGTGGGTGACTTGCTTTTGTGAGGCATGGCCGTGCTGTGAGGAGATCCTGGTATGGGCACGATGACGGAATGTTGGAGTAGGCTTTGTCGACGTGTTCGGACTCACGATACGATGACGAGGCTGAGCTCGTTCTCCCGGGTCCTGGCCCGTAGAGTAAAACGATAAGAGTCATACCCTACCGACAAACCTTCTAGCTCTTGCTGCCCAAGTCGGGATCTCCGCCCAAACCTTTCTTCTTCTCCTTCCTCCGCTACAGACGCAGGAAGCCGACCGTAGAATATACTCGGATAGATGCCTGCGAGATCCCACAGCCATGAGTCCGCCTCGCTAGCCCATCGTAGATCCATGTTTCCTCGCTGCATCCTCGTTTTCCTTCGTACGAGCTCGCGGGACCGGTAGCTAGCTCCCTATGCCATGCCATGCGGGCATCCCAGCGTCGGGCATCGCCTACGTGCGTTCTATATGCGTTCTGCCTAGGAGGCGAAGTCGACGATAATAGCGTTCCGAAGTCTGGATATCGCGCTACCTGGTTCATGCATGTTCGCAGCAAGGTTTGGAGAGAGGAAAGAACATCGTAGCGTATGACGCGTGAAGAGAACCGTGGAAGGAAAAGAAGACAAGTCGTCGTCTAAAGCGCTGGGCACCTACCACCCAGTGGGCTATCCCGGACGCTCTTCTCGTATGCCCAATGACCTGTGCTCATGGGCTGATCATGCAGCTTCGCGTGGGATGCCGGCGATATGGCACACTAAAGGCAAACCTTGCTAATTGGGGGTGTGCAAAAGACAACCATGGTCGATCGTGAACGTTCGCCTTTGTTAGTACGACGCCAACATGGGAAAAGCATAGACAGAGGCTCAGCTGTCACGCCGTTGGAACTGGTACAGCGCACGGAGAGGCTGAGCAGCGAAACGCTCTGGGCGACTGTCGGAGACCGCTTAGTTGCATATGCGCCCTTCGGAACGCCTACCCGCTGTCAGTCTTACGCCTGTCCTTCTTGTGTACACGGCCGGGTGTGAGTGTGCTGTTGTAGCTTGCCGTGAGGAATGTGTGACTGTGAACACCTTTTCTCGGGCCGGTCGTACGTGTACGGGAAGCCGCTTGTGTCTTGGGCGAAAACGCGGGAGTAAAGGCATGTCCAATTGTTCGTATGGCGGATGCAGCAAACTCAAACGCAGTGATACACTCGTAGATGGCGGATGTCTGCAGGTGGCTAGATGAGGACCATCGCTGTGTTACTTGCGTTGTCCAAGGGAGCCCGTTACAGTAAGGGGCGTTCCGAAGCATTGGACTGGGCGAACACATGTCGAGAAGCGGCGCAATGCTGTACCACTTGTGGGGATATCGTGCTAGCATTGAGCAACGATCTGGTCATGTTGTGGAAGGTTTCTCGCAAGTGGCTGATGAGGCAGACTTGGGTGGCTATCGTGCAACCATGCAGCGCCATTGCATGTTCTTCGTGCGACTGACAAAGTTTGGCATCGCCCTAGGAGGAGAAGGAAATATGCGGAGGTGCTCGCCAGTACGGAGATATTGGGGATCAGTGACTTGGAGATGTATTTCCGGTGTCCACGAACGAAAGCGCACTGGTGATGGAAGGGTTTGGGTTCATGACCTGGAGCGGCGCCTTTGCTGGTCTGGCCCGATGAACACCCAAAGTACTATCGATGTGCAGCGCCACGGATAACCGCATCGGCATGGAGGCATGCTTTTGAGATGTCTGCCTGGAAGAAGGGTCGATCACGTCGTGATGGACGTGCTCAGCTAAAGGAACGAAGAGATTCCAGACATCAGGTTCCAACAGCACAGCACAGACTGGTACCCGCAAGGTGGATGTCAATCGGCAGACCCGACAGTTTGTTGTGAGACGGAACGGTGACACCGACAAACAACAAGCCACGAAGCTTACTGCGCGCAAGGTCCGCTCCTTACTTTGAGGCCTCAGATCGGCAATCCCTACGCAGAAGTAAGTATCCGGTGTGCAGTTTACCGAACCCGTTCGTCTATCTGTTACGCCGCACCTGGCGTGTCACATGCTCACAAAGCGAAATCGAGATCGCGCCTTAGCAAAAGCCAGTTCGAGGTACTTTCGGGGCGCACGAAAAAGCATGCTTCTGGGGTGCGTACGGGTGTCGGAAGAAAGAAAGAATTGGATGCAAGTACGGTATACGGTTGCAAGGTGTGCCTCAGGCAAGTATTGGCGAACAGCCACAATATCCAAGAGCCGAGGGACGATGTCATCCCGTGCTGAAGCGAGATTCAACGTCGTCCAGGCTGGGTTTCGTCGATATAGCCCCCATATGAGCTGATAGCAGATCTTTGATGCCGTTGAGCAACCAGGGCACTTCTCACTATCGCCTGAGACGGTACCCAAGACCGTTTTTGCTGCTTAATGTCGACTAGCTCTGAACCAAGTCATGGTGGCTATGGAAGCATGCAATTCACCCGACGAATGGGGAATGACACTTTCATCGCATCAATAAGTCTGGACCAGGTTTTTCGGTAAGACGTTGAGTGCCCAGGTCCTTCATCGCCACACTTGCGCATGCTGGGTCAATAACGAACGGGTAGCTTGTCGCATGCACAAATCTGACGAGAGGCCCGCGGGGTGGGATGCGTATGATGCAAAAGGATGGGGTTGAGGGATTTCTTCCTGGAGTGTGGCTAGCGGCAGAAGGAAACGACGCCCGCGGGCTGGGTGATGATTGTTGCCACACACCAGCCGCTGGCCTTGGCAGGATGTCATCCTTACACCAGACCTGCTCCGTCAGCCATTCTGCACGTCACTCGACGCCATTACCCGCGCGGTGCTTATGCGAAATGAGTGCGTATTTGCTGATTGCTGGAATGGCTTCGGTAGCGACGACATTTTCCTTTTTCGATCGCCTCGTCACGCTCGTCAGATGACGAAGGATTGGCGGCCGCAAAAACAAAATCTCTGCAACGGTGCCCTTCCATGCTTGCTTGGGTGTCGCGATTGGTTCTGTCAAGAGATTCCGGTGACGCCTCACTGCAAGTGTAAGCGGATGTACACTGTACGCGACGTGCTAATGTGTCTTGGGAGCATCGGTAGCCGATACGACACAAGGGCAACGGAAGCTGGAGGACCTTTGGTGGTTGACTGGAGAGAATCAGCCCTCCTTGGAGGCCAGCTGACCGGCCACGAAGCGAGACAAGGACCTCGAAATGGCGTTCGTATGGCCGAGACATGTTTACTGCTGCCTGCGTGTCATTTCGTGGTATGCCTCTTGTGGCAGTAGGATCCGATCCAGGAGGACAGATGCCGTGCAGGTCCAACAACATGTCAATAACAACACTACACCATCTCAGCCACGAGTAGCTTAGCATAGCCTTCGCCTCGCCTACCTCCATCTAGAGTACATCGCGTGGCCTGAGGAATCCGTTTAGGCGGCCGCCTGTCTCCCAACAAAGATCTGCGCTAAGGGAATGACAGAAAGCGCAGAGATGAGTCTCGATCCTGCATTCAGGTCATCAACCGGCCACGACCTGCATCCGGTATCCGCTCTTCTCCATCCATAATTCCCCTTGGAAGTGCGCCTAGCAATCTTACACATCGGCTTAGCCTTTTAACAGTTAGGTTGTGGAGGCAGGGCGCAATCCCGGCGTGATAGTCCCCGTCGAGTCAAGACAAGCTACTGCACACTTGCACGCTCAGCACGCAGATGGCCATGCACACATCGGTCTTGGTGGAACCTGTGATTTGCTGGTGGCGGTGGGCTTACAGCGACCATCGCGATGGAGACTTTGCGGGTGCATATGGATGATGCCCAGGCCGTGGGGCCTAGGTGGAGTGGCTAAGCAGGTGGTTGGTTGCGAGATGGATTGCTCGCGCAAGTGTATGCATGTTTTGGGCTGGGTGCAGAACTGCGGCAGGGTGGCTGCAGATTGATGCGTTGTGTGAGTGGGTCAACAACGTTGGTGTGGTCGATGCGCACATTCGGTGGGAGCATCGTGGACAGAGGCATGGACTAAGGGCAGTGTCAATAGAGCGTATTCAGTCAAGTGATGAGGTGCGAAGATGTGGCTTGTTTAGTCTGCTGTACGACTCTCGTCGCAGCGACCGTATGATATGTTTTTGCATTTGTTTGAGTTTGCTCATGGCAAAGATTTGTGTCCTTCTTTTTGGGACCTGCTACCGTACATTGTTGAGCTAGTGCTCTGGTATCTCTTGATGATGGGAAATTCGAACGAACGTGATGGCAATGAATCTCTACCGATCCAATGCCCAACAAGAACAACTCCGGGAAAATGCCTATTGACCCCACTCCTACTATACGTGGCAGAAAACCGTTGAGATAGCCACGCCAGAATCAAACGCCGTGCCATCAAGGCGCCGAGTTAAACGTAGTAACCAGATAGTTCTAAAGTCCAAGACCGGAGTATCTTCCGGACTGGTCTAGTTTTGAAACGCCAAAGAAAACAAACCGCACCAACACCGAACGAGAAATCAATCGCTGTTCGTGTCATCGTGACTTTTTCGAAAATTGTATAAACACATCGTGAAGAAGCATATCGTAATAGAAAGGGTCCAAAGGTCCAGAGGCAAAGGTGGCTTAGTAGACATGAACCGGAGCCATCATCGATGGCTGGAAGGACACATGCTTGACCAGGTTGGCCGCCTGGATGAATGGCTGGAACCACGTATTGGCAGGTGGCTGGGAAACGTATTGTTGTTGAGGCTGCGGTACTCGGGAAGAAAACTTGGGGACCTGAGAAGAGGAAACGTGTTGGTACGAAGATGTTGAGGATGCGGATGAGGCCGATGAACAAGCGGAGAAGACCGAGTCGTTGTCCGAGTTTGAGCTTCCAGATGAAGTGGAGTGCTGGAAGGGTGATGGTGCGTAGGCTGAGCCAGGAAGAGCAGCAAACTGGGGGACTGCGGGAGCCTGGTAGTAGGCGTTGTAGGCAGCATCCCGGCTGTAGTCTACGGGGCTGAAGGGAGGAGAAGACAGAGGCGTTGAGACAGCTGACTTGGTTTGGGTGAAGGCTGAGCATCGGAGGATCATCTCGCGAATCTCAGGAATGGTCGCCCTGTTGGCGGGGTTGAACTCGAACATTCGCCTGAGGATGGCGTCGAGCTCTGTGGAAACGGGAAGAATGGTCCTCAGAAACTTGGGGTCCTTCATGAACGCACGGAAAGTGCTGTCCTCGAAGGATGCTCGCTTCCATGGGTTGCGTCCGCAAGTGAGGTTGACAAGCATGACTCCCAGACTCCAGACATCGTTGGGCGCTGAGGCGTAGCATGAGTAGGCCTTGGGCGCTGATGTCTGACATTCTGCAAAAAGTTAGCACGTGACTTCAGATGAGTCAGATCATTTCGAACGTACCTGGAGACATGTAGAAAGTCGAGCCGCATCCAAAGTCGGAGGTGACAGCGTCGGTTGTGGCAAGTCCAAAGTCGGCCAGTTTGCAGGTCATTCCTTGGTCAGTGACGAGAACGTTTTCTGGCTTCAAGTCCCGGTGGTAGATTCCAATAGAGTGGCAGTATTCCACGGCATCCAAAACCTGGAGGAAAGCGCGCTTGGCCATGGCATCGTTACCAACGTACTTGCCCTGCTCGGTGATGTTGGAGAACAGGTCACCTTCTGGGCAGTATTCAATGACAACGTATGTGCAGTCAGGGGCGTCCATGATCTTGACTAGAGACACAACGTTGGGATGAGCGCTGGCCTGGTGGTGGAGCTGGATTTCTCTTTGTTGGAACTTCCTCTGGCGAGGCTCGAGACCAACCTTGTTGAGTGCCTTTACGGCATATGGGACGTTGGTCTGGATGTCCACGGCTGTGTACACCACGCCGTAAGCTCCTACACCAAGAATGCCGGTCAATTGAAGTCGTCCAGCAAGAAGTTGACCTAGACGGTCTTCCGGCGCGCAGAATCCATTTTGGGTTGGGGAAGCAGGGGGCGTCGGGTACATATTGTGAGTGGGAAGGGTAAGAAGTCCTCGTAGGTCCAATGAAGGCCTCAAGGACGATGTTAGATGATCCGGAAGATGGAGGTTGACCTGGTCCGTGTGGAAACAGCAAACAGTCCCGGACGGAAGAGTCAGAAAGAGAAGGTATTAGAGAGTAACCGGATCCGGCAAGTCAGGTGACTTGGAGGTTGCGACGGGAGAGTGAGTAGCAAGCAGTCGGGTGAGGAGAGCTTGTCAAAGACTGAAGAGGCTGTTGTAGTTGACGAAGGAATGTGTTGGGAGGAGGGTAGAGTAGTGTGAGGAGGTAGTGGTGGTTGTTGTGGTGGTGGTAGAGGGTGAGGCGGGATATGATGTATGTGTATGAGGACGGCTGGGCAGCAGTGATAAAGAGAGGCTTCCTGGGAGGGCCCAGGTGGCTATTGGCTGGCCTGGAGGCCCCGGTTTTTCGTAAATATAGGGAAGGAGCGGCGCTATGACGAAGAAGGATGGGGCTACAGAGCGAGTGCAGGCCATCAGCGATGTGTGCCATGGCCTCCGGCACGCACATTCAGACGCTAACGTGTGGTTCCACTCGCGCAACCCACCCTGGCTCCATGGCTCGTCTCAACGCGCGCAGGGAGGCGAGAGTGAAAGCGGCCGGGGGCTGCAGTGGTGTGAGCCGTCTTTACCCAGTTGGACGCTAGGCCGTGTCCAACAAAGACAGTCATGCAGCTACCGAGCGGCCGGGGCGTGTCCTTGATTCACCTGAATCATGCCGCCTGCGACTCCGCTGCTCACCGGGCGGCTGTGACTTGGGGCGAATCAGACGCCTGTCAGCGCAGCGAGGGTGACACACAGGCCTGCTCTCGCCGCGACAAGTGCAGCAGCCTCGAGGCACCAGAGGGAGCCATGCAGCGCGCGATGTGCACCATGGTGCAAGCGGACCCGCGCGCTGTGTGTGTGGCGCGAAGCCTGCCCGGCCACTCGTGTCCATTCACTGCTGCCCTCGCTGCTCGCTCCACACGCGCTCGTCAGCTCGCAGAGAGGACACTTGTCCAGGGCGCAATACGGGCGCCCCGTCTGATTCGCTGCCTCCCCCAGCCTCTGCTCTCGCGCGGCCCCCTGATCGCAGCATCTTGTCACCGGCCGATTAGACGGCCCACCAAGGCTCCAAAACGCCCGCGCCTCGCCCCAAGCAGATGCAGCTATGCAGTTCCTTGCCTAGTGCTGCTTAGCCTCCTCTGCAAAGCCTGTCCAGGCTTACGACGTCTCGAAAAGCCGCGAGCGCACGGGCGGCGTTCGATAGTCTTCGACTCTTCGCTGGCTCCGAGGCCCATGACGAATGCAGCCCGCCCAAACGACGATCTCGCAACGCTGCGGCACTGCTCTGCATCTCTGACTGTCATGCCGCCAGTCGACCTTTCGTCCCGTCTGCCTGAACCCGGTGCTGTGTCTAGAGGACGGCACAGTGCCTGTCAGCAACCCGCGGTCACGTTTCGGGTTTCGTGTTGGTGGACCTGTTTTTCTTTTCCGGCGCTTCTGATCATCGTTCTTTGTCCTTCAATCTGAAGCCCGTGGCCGTGGCCGTTGCTGCCATGCGCAAGGGCGAGCTGCTTCCAGCTTTGGGGACCGCCAAAGAGCGTTGGCGATGACACATGGCACTTGATGCCCGATCGGGCCCAGTCGATCCCACGACCGCCAACCTTGTTGCGCCGGACTTCGCCCTGTTTGCGCAGCCACCTGCCATTGGCCTGCCCAATATATTGCTTCTTGACGATGACTAACCGAACCGTTCGCCATGAGCAGCGAGTTGGCCTCCCTGTCGCTCGGCTCCGTGGGCAATTTTGTCTGGACGAGCTGGGCCCGCCAGTGGCACGCTATCGTCCACCAGAATTTTCGAGACTGCTCCGCCTGGCCAATTAATGCGGAGATTATTTTGTGTTTTTGTGCCAATCATCATTCGCGCCCTGCTAGACCTACGTGTTGTTGCAATCCAGTCATGGCCTTGTGACCTGGCAGTCACCGCCTAACGATGTCTCGCTGTTCCACCCACACCGGCCATTCGCTCAGCTGTTGCTGTCGTGGCTTATTGCGCAATATGTTGGGGCGAACTTTTGTTCATCTATGGTTTGCCGGTCGTAGCAGCTCCCAACGAGTAGAAACGGTAGAACGTCTTCCAAGGCTTCCAGATCGAGGAAGCAGAGCATTCTACCGGTTCGTATCTCATCCCGTATCCATGCCCGTTGAAGGGATAACCGACTCGACTTGTCCGCATATGAGTCGTAGGAGCTGGGATGTTTGCCAGATTGCGATGCTGACCCCAGCGCAAGCGAGATAGCCGTGCAAGCACCTGCAGCTTCCAATTCTTTTTCTGCTCTCCGGCGTCATCCGTGCAGGAGCACAGAGTCAAGCCAAGTCCGCTTCCCGTAGGCTAAACTTACGAGCGGGAGTCTGTGAGTGTAAGGGACCGAAGATCATGTCCTGAGCGAAATTGTTCCTTTGCGGGTCAATATCATGGCTGAAAACTTTGTTGGTATTCGAGATGAAGGAGCCGTTCCCAAGAGCATGGCCGCGGGTGAGAGCTGAGCCGTTCGATGCGCATGGTAATTTGTCAAGACGCTAGCAATCTCTTTCATAGAGCGCATATTTTGTGTCTTGGTGAGTTGTGAGCGCGCTGCATAGTAACATGCAGTTTGCAATAGTGCAACCCGCAACAGCCTCCATCCGTCAACATGCCGTCGTTTCCAAGCATCGTGTCGTCTGCTTTGATCCGTCCGACCCGCCGGAGGCTGCTCTATGCGCGTTTTCGATCCTGCTGATTCAGAATCGTGCATGCTTTCCTTGCCGGACAGGCGTTCTCCACAAAGCTCGAGCGTTTCAGTGGAGGTGGTCGAGAGTCGCAGCCTCCAGTGCTTTCACCGCCAAATGCTGACCAGCGCGAATCTCAGGATAAGCCCGTTATCGATAGTCATCGATAAGACACCCGCCAAAACTAAAATGCCCCGCCATCTCAACCTCCTGCGCCCTCAAACTCTAACGGCGGCAGTGTGATCAAGGCAACATCCAATCGACATGTGGTGCCCTCCACAAGTGTCTCGATGGCTTACAGATCCTGCGACGTGGCGTCTGCGGCTGGGGGCAACATCAGGCGACGCCAGTGACGATACTACCAGATCAACCACCCACTATTGCAGGCCCAGTCAGATCCAGACTTTGTGGCCACCTGAAAACTTTCGTGTGGCCAACGAATGACAGCACACCAGCCTTGTTTTCCTCGTGCCTACTCAGATCTTGTTTGGTCCCGCCGAAATTGGTAGGCTGTGGCAATTAAGAATGCTGGCAAAGACATGCTTTGCGGCTGTGTACATTTCCATTGGCCGAGCAAAACGCATGGCAAAATATAGTATACACCGCTCTGAGTCGGTCCGAAGCTTTTCTCGTCGATCTCCAGGCCGGCGCAGGCAGCAAACGTTTCGTGGTTACTAAGGAAGGACCAGACTCCGCAAGTCTCGCAGCGCCATGTCGTTATATCATTATGCATTGCGGGAACCTCACCCTGGCGGCGTTCTGTTCTGACATAACAAGTTTGGCTACGAAGTGGATATCTGTCTATCCTACGTTGTTCTGTAAGGTTTACGGAGGCCGTCTCTGTTAGCTGATGATCTTCTCGGGTTAGCTTGCGCGGCTTCATTCCAAGGTTGCTGATGCCTGCCCAGACGTCATCATCGGCGGTCGGTGATGCAAGACCCTGTTCATCACTTTATTCTGATACAGCACGCTGAGGTCAGATCTCTCATCGTACTTCCGAAGAAACCGCTTTCCCAGGGTCCGATCAGCAAGCACATGCATACGCAGGTAGCAACGACGTAGGAGCCCACATCAATGAAGATTCGGGGTCAGGCTCGTCATTCTGGAAACGTTCTTCACATACCGACCAACATCATCACAACTCATCAAAATATTGTTCCCGGCTGGTGCCTCAGCAACCGGAGTATATTCCACATGTCTCGCGTCTTTAGATCACCCGCCCACACACCCCCTTCACATGTCAGTCCCAACAGTATACCTAGGTATGCAGCAATAACGACGCACCGGAAACTTCGTCAAGCGGCTTCATCCAAAGCTTTGAATTCAAGCCACCCGTGTGCTCCACCATGGTTCATTGAAAGGAAACTGGAGTCTCCGTCTGGGGCCCGGCTCGTTGGCGAAGCGTGAACTCTAACGCGTCGCTTACACGACCCTATACTGGTCGCACGCGTGCGTTGCGAGTAATCGAGATGGATGATGAAACACTCAGCTCTAGCAGCCCTCTAGTCGGCGGTAACTATCCACCGAACCAAACTCTACACTCTGGCAGCCCAGAGGAGATTGGATCGGCAGGGACGTCGGACCTTCTGCGGTTCTGTTGTGTTGTTCCATGGCTTTTCTGGACGAGTACAGCCGCTCGCGTTGAGCTTAGTCGTGGTTATGGGGTGATTCGATCTGAGCCTCTGAGGGTCCCGCAGATCACAGCGGCCGCGAGTAATCTGCGAAGTTTCTTCCACAGTAAGGTCCGACTACAGGGCAGAACTCCGGCGTCGAGACGCCGTACGCCGTATGCATGGTGAAGTGGTCAAAGACGTTGAGCAGGTTCGTCGCAAAGCCCGAGAATCCGCGCGCAGTCGGGTTTTGCACTTGGCATACGCAGCACTTTGTCTGAGTGAGACATCTCCAGTCACGTGTATGTGAACATCGCCATCACGAACATGATGCAGTCGCATGAGAACAATGCGGTCTCTCAGTGACATTGTTTCTGAATGCGATAAGTCATGTGAGCTACTCACACCATTTGCCACATCACAAGCAAAGACACCCTCGTCAGCACAAATCTTACTACCTTCAATGTTTCGCCTTCCGTATCTCAGTAATCACCTGATGGGCATCTTCACACAATACCACTGCCCAGGTGGCATCTACTCTTGGCTCTTAGCCTTACCAGCTCCATCAAGCCCAATACCCGCGCCTGCCCGCCGTTACTCACATGT